GGATTGGATTGAGTTTATTTCAAAAACAACCCACTGATCTTTGTAATGTGTATTACGTCACACACACACACACACACACACACACACACACACACACACACACACACACACACACACACACACACACACACACACACACACACACACACACACACACCCGTCCTGTATGAGCCTTGTTTGGGGATTGGTCTGCTCTGATGTTCCCACAATGCTCAGTTTTCTCTCTGACCTGTGACCTCACTCTCACCAGCCAACATGACATCATCCTTAAAGGAAAATATTGCAGATTTAGTTTTTATTTTAACAGCTCAATCTGTCCCTCAAAGTCAGTTTTCTAGATTTAGGTATTTTCTATAAATGCATCATTGTGCTCTTAAAGGGATAGTTTGAATGTTTCCACGTTAAAAAATGGATTTACAAAACGCTATATTTGGATTTTTTTTTCACCAACTTCATTGACAAAAACAGCAATTTTACCTCACAGATTTGCAGGAGATGCTGGTCCATTGCTGCCTCAATCAGTTATATAGATGATGTTATTTTGTGGCTTTGAAGAGATCATAAAGTGTGAGAATATTGTGTTCCGTTGTTTAAAAAAAAATTTGTTTATAAAAGGCAATATTTAGACTATTTCTCCACCAAACTACATTGACAAAATCAGTAATGCTTACATTGCAGGACACAGGAGTTGCTAATGTATCACTGACTCAACAAGTTAGTTTGTTTGTGCTTTTGTGTGACTTTGGTGGTTTAAACAGTTAGTTCAGATTTACCAAATTCACACAATAACCCAAACTAACTAACCAGTTGGTGGAGCGATACACCATCAACTCCTGTCTATCTTCAAGTTAAAATGATTGTTATTGTCAATGGAGTTTGGTGGCTTTGAAACGAAAATAGAATTGGAAAGGTTTGTCTGATAGCAATGTTAAGTGGTGAAAATATTCTAAAAATAGTGCACATTATTAGGTGCCTAAAATAGGCCCACAGCAGTGCATTGCTTTCCTTCCTGCTGGTAATACACTGATATGGAGAAAGACCTCATTCAACCTCACCTAAAAACACCCAAAGTCTCCTTTTAGTGGACAAACCAGGCGAGGGTCACTGAGGTTTCCCGTCTCCTCCACTGTTTGTTGTCTCTGTTTCCCCACGTGTCTCATTAAAGTATCGTCTTACCTTTTTTAAATCGTGACATTTACAACAAAACGCCAGAAGAAGAAAACAGAGCCACAGTTGTGCAGCACACGTCATTCTGTCAGAGCAGGAAGTGGACTGTGCTTCGGCTCCGTAAATCACACTGACAGTCATTAGATAGAAACACTGCCAGCTGACCAGGGTCTGTCGGATTTCAAAACACGCACACACACACACACACACACACACACACACACACACACACACACACACACACACACACACACACACACACACGTATATAGTATAGTACTATACGTAAGTCACACACACAGACACAGACACAGACACAGACACGCACACACGCACACACACAGACACACGCACACACACACACACAGACACAGACACGCACACGCACACGCGCACACACACACACACACACACACACACACACACACACACACACACAGACACAGACACAGACACAGACACGCACACGCACACGCGCACACGCACACGCACACACACACACACACACACAGACACA